ATTGTGTGTACAGTCAACCCTGTGTAAACCAGCCACTCATTGTCAAGGAGAATTCAGTTTGCTAATTTAAAAAGGTTTTTATTTTATTTTGAAAAAGGGAGGTGCGGATTGTGTAACAAGGGTTTTTTTGTGTTGTTTTGATGGGTTTTTTTGTTTAAGCTTTCTTTTTGTTACTGATTTTGTGCAAGGGTAAAATAAACAAAATATAATGTAGGCCCTAAGTAAGACGATGAAGATCGAGTGCCATAGTAGAACAAATGCATGGGTCGAAGACCGAGTGCCATAGTAAAACAAACACACGGGTCGCTGCCACTCGGAGAACGAGCGGATGCTTCTACTGCAAGTTCCCATTAACGTTCATATTGTTACTTTGTTACAGATTAGGTGAACAAAACAATGACCAGTCACCTCACACACGATTTGTGCATGAGTTGTGGGCAGGGCTTATAGGTTTTGACGGATCAGGCTTCCCTCACCAGCTGTTGAAAAATTGCTAGGTCTATCCATTGGTCAACTAGGGTAAACAATCACTGGAGGGACCAATAACGACAAGTGAATGGATTATGACGGCCTGTCCATAGCGTGAGGGGCCGTTTCAAAATTTATGACAAAGCAACTGGCAATGCGAGACCACACCTTGCCTCCTGAGGCAGGTAAATTTGACAGTGGGTTGATAAAATAAAAGGTCCCCCTCCCAACCCCTTTCGTTCTTTTTTGTGTGTGTAATTTGTGTTATCTTTAAACAATTTCAGCGAGTGGTTGGCGGGTGCTCTGGTGTGGGTTTACTTCTTCTTTCCTATCAATCATCTATTGTCCTTATCTCCCCTTCTTCTTTTTTGTGTTTGTTACCCTCTTGTAACCCCTCTAATCTTCTGGCACTCATATGACCTTATAATGCAGTTGCAAGCACCGTAAAACCTCTACTAAAACTTAACTAAAACTATCTCAGCAATTCTCTTTCAGTAAATTTAGCCTGTACCGGTACCATTCTGTACCTCCTCTTTTCCTCCCCAAACAAAGTTGTACACACATACACACAAACACACACACACGTGCACACAAACACACACGCACACACATACACACACCCCAAGCAGTCGATGATGAAACCAACCTCGCACAGTGGCGGTGGGTAGTGAAGGGCTCACGGGCTTGAGCCCCCCTCCCCACCCCCCAAGTCTATCCCAAGGCAAATGAAAATAACGAAATAAGCAGTTGAAACTGTTCTGATCGACCGCAATGAACAGAGAGTGATAAACTAGGTGGCTTGCTCGTTTATCCAATCACTGTTGTCCCCGCTTACAACTATAGTAACCTAACAGCCAATCTAATGTCTTTAGGGCTCAGCAATCAACCAGCCCGTTCCCACAGTCTCTCCTTAATGAAACCCCTCTTGTAAAAAGGTAGAAGACTTGAAAAAAATAACACTGCACAGAAGGCTCACGCTCTCCCAGTCCTGACAATGGGGTGAAAGTTTACGACACACTTTCCCCCAGTGGCACAGTTACCTATGCGCCCATTGTTCTATTTTCTGCAACTACACGACCCTATCCACCTCATACATGGTGTGTGTTTGGAGTGCTGTGTGTTTGTGCCGCCTAGATTTAACAATAATCAAATAAAAAATAATTAGAGAAATTTGGAGGTGAAACGGCTTCATCCCCACCATCCAGAAGAATTTAACGTAGAACAAAGAGATGGCAGACAAAGGTGACTCTTCTCTTTTGAATGGTTCTCAAAATGCCGTGGCTCGCAGTGAGTATAGAAAAATCATCACTGTGTTGTTCTTATTGCTTGCTTTTTGGTGGTAAAGAAGTGGAAGAAACCTAAGCCCCACCCAAATCTAGGTTCACCCACCGCCACTGACCTCGCATCCCCTAGTGACGTAGCCCATCTGGCGCTAAGCTGCAAAGCGGGCCCGCCGCAGCGAGGCCAAAAGCCCAAAGAGCAAGTGCAATATCTTAGTCGTAGGAGTAGAGAATCTTTGGCATTAACGTACGGAATTGCGTGTATAGCAAAGAATAATTGTGTGCATATAGCAAAAAAAAAGTATTGGTGCACGCAATTGCGTGTGTATAGCTATATAAATGTGTTGGTGCACGCAATTGCGTGTGTATAGAGCACTATATAAATGTGTTGGTGCACGCAATTGCATACGTATAGACACTTTCCCTATGTGGAAAACTATTAATAATGTTCTCTCTCTTTCTATTCCTTCTGGCACTGTGACATCACAAGTGGTCGCTCGCAGAAATCAATGCTCACTCGGGGGTCTTTGAACTGTTGTGATAGTAGGGAAAGCTATGTTGGCCCCATTATCTTTTCCTAGGCCTTGTCAGTTGAATTAAAAAATGTCTGCCTACCATACAAACTATAAAGACCTTGAGTTGCATCGACTATTGCAAATGGTATTTGGCAATCATTAGATCTTGTTTTTTTCATGTAAATGTGTTTATAATAATCACAATTTTATTTTAATAATGTCACTGCCGTTTTCATTTAAGTATCACTGTCCTTTTTTTAGGGAATTTAGTTATGAACATGAGGTAGATTCAAACTCTTGGATTATTCTTTCCACTCTAGTTTACCTCTGTTTTTGTACCACTACATCTACTTGTAGAAATAGATCTATATCCATGTCACTGATGTGAAAAGGGTAAGTTAAAATTATCTTCATTCAAAGTGAAATGAATCTTAACTCTTTCCGGACGTAGCTTTTTTGGGGTCTAGACGTAATTAACTTGGGGCTCGATTTGGCTACACAGGTGATGTACAAAATATCTTCATATAAGCATAACCATCACTCAAAATGTTACACAATATGATATATAAAATTGAAGGAAATTGAATGAGGAATTCATTCCAACATGAAACTAGGATTAATTTTGAACATAAGTATGCCTTTGAAGGGTTAGAAATGGTGATGGTGATGAGAAGAATAAATTTTGACGGAAAAAATTACTTTCTCCAAACATGTGAAAGCAAATCAGCATAGTTATCTTATCATATAGGCCTACAGGCCAAATTTCTGAATGCGCAGCTTTTTATTTGAAAGCAATATTCCAATTTTTATTTGAGTTGTGATATTTATACTGAGTCAAGTTACATGGTTGTGTTGATGCAAGACCCCAAGAACTAATTCACTCGTTTTTCCCCAAACCCACACTTTGACAAAGTGAAACTAGATGTATCCGTTTCCTAAATCCTTTCCAAGTTTTCAATAACAATAAAAAGTAATTATAAATGAAGGATCATTATAAAATGAAACAATACTTGGGCACCCTGTCACAGTGGATATATCGGCGATACGTCCGGAAAGATTTAAGCAGATATAGATCTGTATGTAGGCCTGTTTTAGAAGATGTGAAAGTTTTATTTTTAGGCCTATATGTTTGATGAGATTAAGTTTTGAGAGAATCTGGATCTTACAGATATTTTTCCTTGTAATGTGAGGGCGGCAAAAAGAAAAAGAAAGACCCTGATCCAAGCAAAATTGATTATTTATTGGTAGTCTAATGTTTACCACTGTAATACATTTTAGCCACCAGCTTGTCAAGTATTATGATAAATTCAAATGTAAAGGTAGTATATATATTGATTATATCATGAGGTTCTTTTATCCCTTAAGATTAAAGAATACAAACTGCTCCTTCAGTGCAGTATCTAGTGCTACCCTCTTCCTTTGGCCTATACCACTCTGAATGTCTTTCCGCTCTCTCCCTCACAATAGAATTGCCCCCCCCCCCGCCCTTAGTTAGATAAATAAAACAGAAAACTTGATTCACTTTAAGGTATTTTAGTTGTTCTCAATAACAGTCTGATGGACATGAGCATTTTAGATTGATAGTTGTACCTTGGAATCCCTGTTAAATGAGACCGGTAGTAATTTTGTGTTTGCAGTATTATTGGTTTTATTTCTGTGTTTATTTTATCAGTTTAGTTCAAAATGAAAATTTTCTATTCCAAAGCTATCATAAACTTAGATCAAGGGTAATGAAGAGAACTGACTGTGTGAGGCAAACATCCCACAATATAAGTATATTTTTATTTGGTTTATTGGTTTATTCTGTTGCAATATTTCATTTAAAACCTTTGCCAGTCACTTAGAAAATATAAGACTTTGGTTTGTTCACTGTTTTGTTTTTTTTGGGCTAAAAATGTCTCCTGCTTTTGTCGCGTTTTGGGAAAAAAAAAGTGTAACTTTCTGAGTTCTTTAAAGAGGAAAAATTGCGCTTTATGAGAAAAAATTTGACTCAGGAATCTGCCTCAGCTTTCTAGATACAATGGTACTAGTTGAGGTCTAACTTCGAAAATGGTGTTTGTGGAGAAACTGCTCAAATATAATTTCTTTTAGTTAGTTCATTGTTAGTAGATGCAAGGTTGACTGACATAGAAAACTTTTAAACTTAGTTAACTTACTGTTGTTACTTGGAACATAAAAACAATGTTCAACACTACTAACCTTCCGTCTGCCTGCGCCTACAGCTCGAGTTAGCCAAACCTGTTTCTCTCTGTGTTGTGATCCTTTCCTCAGCTTTGGGGCCCCGATGCGTTGGAATCTCACTCGTTACACAAAAACCGAGGCTCCAACTAGCCTTTTCTCCTCCTATACTCTCAGCAGGCCTCCTCTGCCTTGCTACAGCTCTCCCTTCTAAAAGTCCCCCCCCAGTAGTAACTCAGACTGCTTTTATAAACTTGCAAACAATACAACTGAACAGAAACTCACACTTTACTCACTCTCACATTTTCAGCTAAACAATACAATAGGCTAGGCCTAACCCCCTGCCACAACCAAAAACAACCAAATAGACCACACTTACTACTTTTAATTTATTGCATGTTCGACATGATCGTACAATGTGAATGATATTTTCCAGTTTTGATTTTTTGAAAGCTTTTCCAGTTCCGAAAGCTGGAAAATAATTGATTTACTCTATATTATTGTTTACCCTTTTTTTTCAGAGAAATGCAATCCAACGAGGGAAAGAAAAGATGATAAATACAAGCTCTGCTGGAATTGATTCATCCATGGATGCCCATATGGAGAATGAAGTCCAAAATTTCGATTTGAACCAGGATATGGAAGACGAGGATTTTGATGATGATGATGATGATGACGATGATATCATAATTATCCAAGATGGACCTCTTGAGCTTGACATTAATGACAATGAAGAAAACTCTGTAAGTAAAATCATGGTATGGTTATGTTGTTGTGATGTTGACATTAATTACTAATTATTATTCATGAGAGGAACTTGAGGAGAAAACTATTGTCTGCTGAATAGATCTTTATGACTTTTTTTTCATAGAACTAATTTGAATTAAGAAGCTAGAAAAGTTTTTGACTGTCAATGGTTAAAAATCACCTTGTTTCCACAGAGTATACCACAAGAGGTGGTCAAATATGTCGACTCACTTGAAGCTCAAACGCAAAATCTGGAACGAGAACTGGTGGAGTGTGATGAACTCATCAATCATTCATCTAGGCCTTATCAAGGTGAATATGATAACTAGAAATTGAATAGCTTTATCAAGTATTATGAGAAATGATGAGATATTTAGCAGTCCTTTGGACCAGATTGACTTTATGAGTCTATGTTATTGCTGCATTGAGCAAAGAAAAGCTGAACAGTTTCTGCAATTGGACTTCGGTGAATCAGTACAATATGGAAGTCCAGGGGATTCATGCAAAACATAGTTCAAGGGAATCCACACAAAAAATTGAACATTTTGAATGATATAATTGTTTCAGTACGTAGTATTGTTGTTGTTGTTTTTGGTTTTTTAAAGGAAAAAAATCTAATCTTTAGTTCGCTAATGTTTTTATCAGGTCCAGTGGATGCTGTAATTGTGTATGATGAGTACAAAGAATTGGAGGCAGCAGCTGCAGAGCAGGGAATGACAGTTGAAGAGTTAAAGCAAAAGGTAATGTAAAGTGAAAAGAGAAGTAAAACTTGACACAGTTTTTGTGTCTCATGTTCATTAAAATTTCTTTTTAAAAAATAAAAAAAATGTGCAAACTTCATTTGTATTTAACTTAACAGTAACTGCAAAATTCTATTCCTTGGGCCAGTTGTGAAGTGAATGTTAGAGCGAACATGCTGTGTACTGATCAGAAGTAAGGAATCAACTGTTGCTCTTTTTTTACTGATGGAGATAACTCACTTAGATAGTTTGTACACTACCATTAGCAACCTACTGCAGAATGTTAGATTTCTTTTGTCTTCTGTTTTGATTCACTGCAACTAGACGAAGGGGGTAATATCATAAATCAATTATTGTCATACCCCCCCAATGCATAGTAACTAATAGAAGTTTCCCTCCTTACTGTCTTTACACTTTACTTTATGTTGCGTCAATTTACACTATGATCACATTTTATTCTTGTTACAGCTTTTAAATGACATAGAAGGAGAAAGTTTCACAGAAGACGATGTGGACAAGGAATACGAAGAATTTCTCCAACTTCAAGAGGAGTTAGCTCAGCTACGAGCAGAGACAGCAGACATTGTTAAAGACAAAGAGTTGCAACAGACTGATGATAAACTCTTGGCTATTGAGGTAAAACAAAAAGCCAAAAAATAAGCATAATAACAATTTTAAACACTTACAAAATGCGGTTTCTGTCTTTTAAAGATATGGTGCCTTATTTTAGAACTAGGGACAGTATGTCTTGCTCAAGGACACATCTAAGTGATACCTATCTAGAGCAAGCGGCCCAGACAGTCAATGCTTCTGAATCGGTGAAGCATAAGATTTTATAAGACACACAAACTAGTGCATGTTTTATCAGTTTCGTAAATCAAAAAGAAATGGAAAAGAATTCTCTTTAACAATGTTTTGGTATTATCAATCCAGCTCTTCACATCGAGATCAGTACCAAGGGAGAAATTTGCTTCAAAGTCCTGTTGAATAAGACTGTTGAACAATAATGAGGCACGAATCCAGACTTTCCAGCTCATATTTTAGACTTGCTGAAAATTACATTACTGTGAAATAGAATGTAAGTGAAATACTGCCTCATTTATTGCCTGTTCATGCTGGTATTCAGTGAGTCTTTTGCTTCTACAAAAAAAATATTTTTTAAGAAACCATATTAATTCACAACCAGACTGTTAGATCTCTCATTTTTTTCCCCCACCCACTCACCCAGGCTCCTGACACTGACAGTAAACTGGATAGGAGTTCTTCCCCACATGAGAATGGTGTCAATGAAGAAGTCTTCATAACTGATGTGAGCGATGCCTTGACAGGAGCACCCAGTGATGATAGAGTCAGTAAAGATAATATGGATAGTGAAGTGGAAGGTGTGTTTTCTGTTTGAGTATTTTTGAGTCATTACAAACTTTCAGAGAATGTGGAGTAGAAGCCAGTAAAAATGATCTCATCGGTTGCTTCTTGGTTTTTGTCATCATCTAAAATGCCGTACTGTTTGAGTTTATTAGTAGTCAAGTCACCTATCTGTGTTTGCAGGCCAACACAATAGGTTTACTGGTCTCCCTGCCACTTCTGTCCTGCTGTAGAGAGCTCTGTAAAGGCAGCAGACTTCAGAAACAAAATGATGTATCTCATGTTGATAAAACTTTTTGTCTGCAAATAAGGTATTTTTACCTTCACTCTCAGCATGGCTACATGTTTCAAGTCATTATTTCATAGAATATTTCTTTTGTTATGTTGGTATATATTTTAAAAAACCTGTAGTTGATCAGGGTTTTATTGTTTGCAAAGAGCTGTGAATTAAATTTTGCTTCTCTCTTCAACAGCTTCTAATTAAGACCTATTTTGTGTTTGTATTATGAGCAGCTGGGCCCCTGGTAGCCGTCTCTGTGCTGTCCAACATGAGGGATTTTATCCAGGAGCAGCTGAAGAACTCGGAACAGTCATACCAAGTCCGTAAACAGAGACTCCTGCAGGTGAGAGTGGAGGCACTTAGGGATGAGAAGTTATGTGCATGAGAGCTCTCATTCATTACTTTTTATGGTGGTACATAATATTTTGTAACCCCCAAACTACCCCCTATATATGTGTGTTTCATACATTTATTCAAGTGTGATATCCTTTGAATTAATTTTGCTCCAGAACATGGAGATTCACAGAAATCAAGAAGAGAAGAGGATGCTTCAAGATGAGGAAAAAAGGAAGGAGTTTCAGCTGATGCTGGAAGATGAAGAAAGACAGCTACAGCTTAAAAAGGAAGAGCTTGAAAGGAGAATGGAACAGGAGATCAAAGAGATGGATGAAGTCACTTTACAGGAGTTGAATTTACAACAAGTAAGAGCTCAGTACTCATTTGAAGATTTTGTCTGACTGAACATTTTAGTGGGACATGATAAAAAGCCGCTTTTGTGAGGCGGGCTGACAAAATTAGTCACTTCTCGCAATCCACAAATGGAGATATTGGTAAAAGTTAAAAAATCAACACTAGAGTCAAAATTGTAGATTTTCTATTGATGCTATATTCTTTCAGTATAACATGCCTTTCATTATTGCAAACTTATAAATTGTAAAACCCACACCTATAAGTGTGATGTATCTATTTCCATAGGGCTCAAATTCAAGAAGTAACTCATTTTGTCAGTGTGCTTCACATTTAATAAGTCACTTGCTTCTTTGTTTGTGTTTATCTTTTTTTTTACTCCATTCATTTGTCTATATCAAACAGGTCTTTTGGCTCTTTAGATTCTTTAGTCTCATACTGTCATTCAGTGACTTGTGATAAATTGTGCACACTTATATGGTCTTGGCTTTTATGAAAAACCCCACTTAATTATTTGCTTTTGAGGTAGTTTTAAAGTACTGTGCTTCTTACACATTTTTTTTCTTCTTTTTATCTATTTTGTAGCTTTTAAAAAGTATTGCAAGACATTGAATGTGCTGGTGTGCTTTTCTTTAACTGAAACAAATGGGATTGTTACAGGCAGAAATAGAGAGGTGGTCAGAAGTTTTGGAAGAGGAGCGCCGTCAGTTTGAGACTTTTCGCAAGGAAGCCGATGCTCTGGAAGATACAAGCAAACAAAAAGCTGCAACGGAAATACAGAGAAGATACAGAGGTTTTAGGTTTGTGAGAATTAGATTCCAGCTTTTGCTTCATTGTTGTTTGTTATAATGTTTTGGAATGTTTCAAGATATGTTGTTTGTAGTGTCACTCCTGCACACACAACACATTCGTTATTATGTGAAATTGATCTTTGATGATATGTAATACTGTTTTTACTTTGCTTTTATAGTGTTTCTAAGTGTTCAGAAGATTTGGTTCTGAGGATCTTTGCACCGACTTCTGTGAAAACTGACTTGCGTGTTATTACAAGATGAAGAAGACAACACCCATATGTTATCTTGTTTCTTCCAACGAACTACTCTGCCAATGCAAAAAATGCTTCAAGGGGGCTTTTTCATTCAAAACTGGTGTTTATTCTTACTGGGGTACATTAACCCAAAATTGTTCATAATTACATATGTTGCACTGTGCAATTGCTAATGGTTTCGCCAACTTTTCTTCAGTTGATTAGAGGGTGCCAGTGGTTGGTGCCTTTTTTTTGTCCATTTATATTATCTCTTTGCTGACATTACATGACTCTCCTGCATATTACGTGCTTATAGACTTAATCAAACAAACACAGATCTACATTTTTCTTCACAGGACACGTAAAGAGATGGCAAGCACAATCCAGGAATTGGAAGAAATGAAGGAACTGAAGAAGAAGGAGCGCTATGATGTGAGACTGATGGAGGTGGAGTATGAGATCAAGTACAGGGAAGAGCAATTGAAAAAGTGAGTCCACGGTTGGTTAAAGATTTTATTCGCTTGTGTTTTTGTTCAACTTTATTTTAGATTTTTATCAATGTTTATTTGTGTCACGACGCGGTGGAATCAGGCGCTCATCAATTTTTGGGCATGTGGAGTTACTGGTATCATCTTAAAGCTTGTCCGTTTGTCTTGCCTTCGATGAAAAACGTACCCATTTATTTTGTATAGAAGATGGGATATCCGCAATTGAAGGCTGTGGAGGTCGCCTTGTTTCAGAGGCTAAATTAGGGACAAAATGGCTGCCAAAGTTTGGTTAGTTCCATAGTTTGAGAGTCCATGGTAACTAAAAACTTACATTTTCGTGCCTTTAATCAATGTTTCTCAGTAAAATCCTCACAGAAATGTGTTCATGAATTGACATTAAAGGTGTTGAGCCAAAAGAAAAAAAAATCTATAAAAATAGTCAAACTGATGGGAAAATGCCAGTTTCTTCAATTTCAATATTTTGATGAGTGTCTGATTTCACAAAACTGCCTCACATAAGTTTACAGTTTACATTTGTTTGGTTAATATGAATCTCTGGTTATTTTGGATGTGTTAGTGTATATTATGTTTGTTTGTGTTCATTTTCATGTACATGTTAGGGTGTATGTAGGGAAGTATGTGGAGTTCATGTGGGATGAATGTTACTTTTAAATTCCTATCTGTTATGTATAAACAGATGTTTATGTTTATGATGCACATACTCTTTTTTTTTTTTACATGTGCTTTAGCACGTTTTACTAAGAATCTCTTTTGTACCCCATCTAGATTGAGGTGTTTTGAAAGGTTCTACCTCTGAGATTTTATATTCTGTGAATTTAACATGACTAATTTTTGTGTTCTTTCTCAGAGAAAAGGAAGAAAACGAGAAGAAGGAGAAAGAGGAACAACTCCAGAAGGACGAAGAAGAAAGGCAAAAGGAAATAGAAAGAAAAAAGAAAGAAGAGGAAGAAAAGCTGAAAGAAGAAGTGAGGAAAGAAGAAGAGAAAAGAAGAGAAGAAGAGAGGCTGGAAGAAGAAAGAAAGAAAAAAGAAATGGAAGAGAAAAAGAAAGAAGAAGAGCGACAGCGTAAAGAAGAAGAGCGATTAAGGAAAGAAGAAGAAAAGAAACAGAAAGCTGAAGAGAAGAAAAGACAAAAAGAAGAAGAAAAGAAAAGAAAGGAAGAAGAAAAAAAGAGAAAAGAAGAGGAGAAGAGGTTGAAAGAAGAAGAAAAGAAACTCAAAGCTGAGGAAGAGAAAAAGAAAAAGGCAGAAAAAGAGGCTGAAAAAGCAAGTGTGTTGGATGTCGAAAAACACAATATGGATAAGGAGAAAATTCAAAATTCTTGCGACATTCAAGGAAAGGAAAATGAAAGTCTTCAGGACAATGACAAGAAAGTGAATGGAGTCTGTGAAGATTCAAATACAGATAACCAACAGATTAAGACTTCTACTGAAGATGTGCTGCGCAAAAGTGTTGTGTCCGCTTCTCAAGTACCTGATACCACTTCTCACAAAGAGGGTTCTGTTGTGAGTGATCCTTCTCGTAAATCCAATCTTGATTCAGAGGAACAACCCAGGACGCCTCCAGCATCTGGGAGAAAATCTAAAGCATCAACGTCTTCTCCTGTCATGAAGTTTATGCCTCATCCTCCATCTCGTCCTCCGTCAGCTGGTCCAGAAGTGACAGACGCCACCACCATTTCGTCAGCTTCAACAAAAAGTGCAGAAGCCCTTGTGTCTGGAGCTGCTGTAGTGGCAACAACAGCTACAACAAAAACAGCTGCTGAAGCAGTCACAGTGACTGAAATAAAGCCCATGGCCCCTACTCCTGTTGTAGAGCAAGCTCCTGTGCTTGAAAAACAGGAGGATCCAGTAGAAAAACAAAGATTGGCTTGGATGAAAAACTGCGTTCCATGGAGGTATGTGCTAATAAAGGCTGTTCTAATTTGTTGCTAGTCTTTTCATTTTTGTTCGGTGCTACTTTGTATCCTTAGGGAGGAGTATAAAAGTTTGTAGATTTTTTTCTCTGCGAAAATTAAGTCTCTTTCCTAGTTCCTTTGTCTGTCAGGTATGCCTCTTTTTTTCAGCAACTTGTCAATTATTCTTTTCCTGGCAATAAAGCAGATTTATAGCGTTGATGAGTTTCTTTTTAATTGTACTCTATTATCATTAACATCCTTTGTTATTTTATGGTGTTCACATATTTGTTTGCTGTCTAATCATAAATCGTAAATTCTCTCAGCAAAGTGAGCAACGAGCCATGGCGTCTGAAGCCCAATGCACAGCGAAGCCACAAGAGGCCGTCGTCTGCCAAGAAACTGCCAGCCCTGTCCGAGGCAGTGATCCTGTCTGCTGCTCAGGCAGAGACTTTGAGACAGGTGGGCTTTTCGTTGATTCAGGGGGGGGGGGGGGGGAGGATCTGTGTGATCCACCTTTTAGGGAGTTAAGGGAAAACCACATTTGAACCCTGATCCCAGGTTTTCGCTCCTGCTCTTAACCTTAGTCCCAACACTGAGACTGATACTTAGATGGGTAACTGTCTTTGGACATGCCCTGCAACTTCAAATGATCCAGTGTGTTCCAACATGTCAGCATTAAGAACATTTTGTATGAATGCATAGTTGTTTCATCTGTGTACTCATGTATCATCACATCGAGGTGAGTCAGCATTCACTTGTGGGTTTACAAAAGTGTTAGGACGCTGGAAATGTCTGAGGTATGAGTACCTATTACAGGAAGAAAATATTTTTAACCACTGCTAAATTGCTGAAATATATATTTGGGACACTATTGTGGGTGCAACAGTTAGCATGGCTGGCATCATGCTCGGGTGTTATGTAACTGATCTTAGCTTGAGTTTCTAATGGGTCATTCTTGAACTCCAGTTACTTGCAGTGTTGTCTTAATGCATTGGCTTGCTAGTCTTTCGCCTAGGGGACCCCCTTAGCATGAGAGCCCTCTTCTTAGCCTATGCATGTTGAGATTTGCTGCTGATTAACAAAGACTGTATTAATATTATAAATTATATACCTAGGTAGGGGCCCTCATGCACAGTTTAGTGCCTGAAGCAGGTGGGGGGTGTGGTGTTGTTTAGATGGCCCTGGTTATTTGAAGATTTTTCGTGGTTTTCTACCACTTGACTAGGTGCTATTGCATATAGACATCGCATCAGATATGATATCCTGAGCGTTCTGTAACACCACTGCTTCTTTACTGATCAGATTATGGCCTCTTTAATTTTAGTGTTGCATGAAAGTACCTGTTTATTCTTTGGTCAAAATTACTTTGAAAATACTGCTACTTTCCTGTACCGCTCAATATATGCCTTCCCAGGTATCTTCAGTGGAACTGACCAGCCTGCCTGGCTGCTCTCTGTCCACTCTGAGTCAGTGCTGGTCACTGCGCTACTTGACCGTCACCAACTGTGGTCTCATTTGTCTCGATGGGCTCAGCCAGTGTAAACATCTGCACTACATCAATGCTGAGGTGAGGATTTTCAGACTGTTAAAAGAACTCTTTTATCTTGATGAAAAAGACCTTAAATCTCTCATCACTCTACAAATCTAGATTTATTAAGCAGGGCTGGGAATCCTCTTTCCTATGGGGCTACTTTTTATTTTGTTGGAAAGATTTTTAAAAAATTTTGGGGCAATTCCCAGCCTTGTTACAGGACTGGTTGCGTTTTACAACAAAACTTTTTTTTTATTACCTTGACCAGTTATTCTGATGATTTAGGTCGTTCTACTATGAAGAGAACCATTTTTTTTATAGTCAGGGTTTATTTTAATATACTGCTTACTGATCCCATAATCCACGAGGATTGTAGGGGCGCTGTATGATAGAGAGCCTCGTCAGGTGCCTTCACTTTTCATGGTACATTTGAATATGTGTCACCCCAAATAAGACCTCAGTTTGATTGGATTCAGCTTTCCGGTAATGTTAATAAGGGAGAGAAACTAGAAACGGTTATTTGAGTCAAAATGAAAATGTGGAGTAAAAACCACTTCCTGCAATTACATGTACTTCTTTCCTGATAACACTTTGATAGGATGTGTGGAAGAGAAATTACCAGGTTAACAATTCCCATACTTCAGAATCATTAATACATAATTGTTTCTAGTGCAGTTGATTTGAGTTTTCGCAGTGTCTTTAAAAATACAATAGCAGAGTATGCTTCTTGAGTAGTTCTTAGGTGCTATTTTTCCTTAAAATTTGTATATTTTCTTTTTTTCTTAAAGTAAAGAGGGAAATATGTTACTTTGTTTTTCTGTGAGGTCTTTGCATACTGTAACTTTACTTCTAAATAGTACTAATTGAAATTTGTTTGATATCAGTGAGCTTTTCGAGAAAAAATAAAAATTTGACTTTTATCTTTTTGACTCAAAATGAAATGTAAACAGTTTTCCATCTTGCAAAATAAGTGATGAAAAACCTTAAGGAGAAGGTTCTTCAGTACTCTTACAAGCGTTCTTAGATTTTCAATATTTTGTAGAATTTCCCTTTAGCTCAAAACCTTAAGTCAAACCCTGCGATCACTAACATTCAAACCAGATGTTGTAAACAGATGTTCCCCTTTCCTTGTCTATAGTTCTTCTGCTTAGTACATTGGCAATTAATTTGTTTTTTTTATTCCATACCCCTCACAGCATAACAACATAGAGCATTTAGACTTGAAGGATCTGGGAAGTTTGCAGGTGCTGAGGCTGGCACACAACCGACTGAACATCGTCCATGGGTTGGAGGGTTGTATCAATTTGCGATGGCTGGACCTGAGCCACAATCGCATTACCAAACTTTGTGAGTATTTCGTTATATGTGTATATTTTATGACATGCTGTTAGAACTTTTTACACGATACAACTTTGTTTTTGTTTCATCTTCCCAATGTGAACACGCACGTATATGGATTTGTACCGATTGTACCATTGTTTATTGCATTTTGGCTGTTTTCAAATTTAAACTAAGCATGATCTTTTCATGTCTCATAACAGTAGGGATTGTGAGATAGCACTTTTTTTGTTAAGTTTATATATTATATATATGTGTTTGTGTGTGTGTGTGTGTGTGTGTGTGTGTGTGTGTGTGTGTGTGTGTGTGTGTGTGCATACAAATGCTATGTATTTATGTTTCATTTTTGTAGAAGATAGTGACTGCAGACAAGTTAATTACAATGGAGGGTCAGTAAAGTTGAAAGGATCGTATCTAATAAACTTAGTTATTATGCAATGACAGAGTTTGCATGATCTCATGTACTGATGTATTTTTTTAATGTGTCAGATATGTAGCTCTAAAAACCAAGAAAGAAAGATATAAAGAAGTTTTTTTACCATCTAGCATACAGCTATTGTCAGAATAAGCGTAGATGTGTATTTCTCTTTAGAATATGTATCTTTATAACTTCAAAGGTCTTGTAATTAAATTCCTGCTTGTGGTTGAATGATGCATCTGATGTGATGTACATTTTGTCAGCTTTACTTCTCTTTTCATATTGAATTTTAATGAGAGTAAAATATAATTTAAATTTTTTAATGTATACCTGCATGTGTTTTTACGGTCCTGTACAGCCAAGATAAATTTCCCTCTTGGATAATAAAGTATTGTCTTATCTTATCTTATCTTATCTTATCTTATTACTTTTCTTGTCGTACAGCTGGGCTTGGAGCACTGCGTCGACTGCATACCCTGCGAGCCTGTCACAACCAGCTGGTCAGCACTGAAGGTCTGGAGGAAGTGGTCACTCTGCAGCGCCTTGAGCTGTCCCACAACTACTTACAAGCCTTGACCAAGCTGTCAAGAATGTGTTTGCTCACCATCTTGGATGTTTCTGCCAACAATCTGCAAAAGGTGACATTAGAGAGGCTCACATTTTTCAGGCCACTGCTTTATGCATGATATGCCATTGTTTCCAACTGCATGAGTTGCAAGAAAAAGGCCTTACTACAATGAAATCCACATTCCTGGGGTATTTTGTATATATCGGTTAGTTATGGCTTGTACCAGTGGAAGTAACTGACACAAAATACTGTACTGCAAAAAGAATTTGTAGAAGGCTTTGAAAAAAATTGTGTAGCATTATCATGTCACACAATCTGTGAACAATAACTGTTTGACTGAATTTAATTTGGTTTAAAATCCAGTCTATTGTCTATTGTCTTGATCAAAACAGCAACTCAAGTCAACAACCTAAGATTTATGAAGTATTTGAACTCACATAGCTAACATAATTTTATTTACTCCTTTCAGGTCCCTGAGTTTAGTAATCAGGTGCTATTACAGCATTTAAATCTGCGAGAAAACAGTATCAAGTCTTTAGAAGATTGCAGTAAATGCTGGTTACCCCTTCTGGAGTCACTGAACTGTGGTCAAAATATGTGAGTGTAAGATGTTCTGCATGTATTGATTTTCATAGTTACTTTTTCGAAATATACTCTATTCAATTGATTTTAATTTCAATGTACATTTTTCCCGACTTCACAAACCACAACTTTTCAATTCCCCTTTTTGATTAGTATTGATTCGTTTTAATTGCTTTTGGTTATAAAGTGCAGCCTATGAACCAAATCTGATACATTTGAGCACGGATAACTTGAACATTGAAGACTCAAATTCACGAATAGATCCAAGAATATGTCATTCCCAGACTGTTTGGCTATGTTTTTTGGGGGTTTTTTGTATTGACAACACTGTTTCTGGAATACCCACATAGTTGTGTTGAACTGAATATTTCAAATAGCCATATCCCATTTTTTCTCACAGTTGTCTCAGATTCACATTTGCCCTGCACACGCGATAGAAAATAAACAAACCCATGATCATCGAGAATATCAGGTTAGACAAGCCTGCCGGGCTTGCCTGAGCACAGCAGGATACACACACATCTGGTATTAAGACACATCATAGCCCATTTCCCGTAGTGTTTGTGAGGCGCTAGAACTTCCTTGAATCTAGTCATGTGAGGATGAGTGCTGGGTTGTGAGGTGTAATGGAAGACAGACATTGGGGCGCTGCATTGGGCGGTATGGTGTGTGAGTTATGTTTGTGTTTGTATGTGTGTGCAGTTGTTTGACTGTTTGAATGTGGAGGTATGGATTGGAAAGTGATTTCTCTAGATGGTTGGTTGGCATACTCCAACCAGTGTTGGTTACGGAAAACACTATCCATCCGTCTATCCTTACCTTGATACTGGGTACTTTTCATGATGGCAGTGATTTATTTTCCCACCGTCTTACCATCACAGTTATTTGCTTTGATTTTCTTCAATGCAATATGTTTTTCGTTTAAACGACTTATGGAAGTGTTGTCCCGATGTGTTGGAGATCTTTGTGCTCGACTGTAGTTTTCTTGACCCGCTCGTACTGGCATAACATTTTGACTGAGAAAATTATCATAATTTAGAATGAAGTTTATAATTTGCAGAGAATGTAACAGTATGTTTTGCTACTTCTATATATGTGTAAGTTAGGTCTCTTCCTTAAAATCACACATTTTCATACACAGTTTACTGTCAGACAAATGTGTTTGCTTTCACATTTATCCTGCTGAAAATCTTCTTTACATCTGAAAGTGAATACAGTCATTTTCACCCAAAAGATGTTTGTGGTTTCTCTTACCTTTTTTTACACTTAAAAATTTAATCATGTTTGTTGTGACATTATTTATTGAAGTAAATCTTTCAATCCATGAACAAATGTTTAACTTTGGTTAGTTCGTTAACTTGAGCACCTAAATCATGCACTGTCATAGCCGCTGGTCTTTGATCTGCATTTATAAAAAGTTTACTGCAAAGTGTGCATGTTCATGTGCGCATTATTACACCCAAATGAAGGGCGAAACATCAATATCGCCATAGTCGAGTGTGTGTTGCACATTCCCCCTTGCCCTTTATGTGGCTCACATTGTGCACTCCATAATAAACAGGAAATATATGACAGAGTGCATCCATGAACACACATCTGACTTTGGTTAGATTGTAGACTTGAACACCTATACCGCACACTGTGTGCCCATGTGCCTAAAGGAGGGTTGTGAGCCTCCCTCAGTTGTCCCATTTACAACCTGGCCTGCCTCTGTGTTCAATTCTTTTAACTTGGCCAAAACACCAATCACGTTGAAGTATACCAGGAAAATCACTGACAATATAAAGTTATTTATCAAATGTGTTGAAAGGAAACCTAACTGATGTGACGAAATGAAGGGAATTTGAAATATTTACTTTTTTTTGCATGGTTTTTGCACTTATATATATATCTATATTTGTGTCTCTTTATCTTAAACATGTCAACTACAGTTGAAACTTTCAAATTAGGATAGCCCCCCAGATATGCATGTCACAATATAGGACTGTAACTTCGCCAAGAATTTTGTGAGTTAGAATATATTAGTGCTTGAGAATGGCAATATTGTTTATTGCTTAGCAGTGTGTTACATTGTGTGTTGTTTGCTTCCTGGTAGAAACTGCTTTTCTCACCAAAGCTATTTGTATATATATATATATATATATACAGTTATTTCTTTGTCACTTTTTTATTCTTTTGTTGTTGATGCTTTCACCTTCCAAGGTTGGAAAATTTGAATGGCATAGACAAATTGATCACGTTGTCTGAACTGGATGTCAGCTCCAATCAAATTACAGGTACAGTTTTTTCATAGATTTTTGTGTGTGTGTTTACAAACTGGGAGCAGTTAATAAATCATGATGGCATTCATTGCTTACTGTCTCTTCTTCTATGCGGATGCAGAAAACCTAATAAATACCAAGAGAATGTAAGGATTAAATGTTTGTTTGAGCCTTACTGTGATGTTCAAATTGTACGTCATCATTTAATTTTCTCTAAGAGACGTGAGAAATATCTTTGTTTTACCAGCTCTTAAAATCTGCAGCAGTCGTTTTGTAATATTTTAATACAAGAGTCTTATGTTGGTCGGGGGGCTATTTGATGTGCTGCAACTGGAATGAATTAGCATGGTGGCCGTGATGAAAAAGGGATGTTCAAATTGTGATGTGCCATATAACTGGGTGTTTTATTTGTTTTCCTGTTCAAGAATATTGACAGTGTTGAGTAAGTGAGGTGCTAGTGATTTGTTTTCTTTCTTTATGTTCTTCACTTTCCTGTACTCTGTGTCTCATTTACCGTGTTATGAAAGGTGCCACCGGTGCTTTTTTTCTGTCCCCTTGGATACTTATAAATGTTGCTTTCACAAGAAAAGTAATTCTTATCATCCTGTAAATCTGGATCGGTGTTTACATTTTAAAATTTTGGCAGTGATGAAATTCGTCACTGGTTAGAGATCTTTGAGGCTCAAGCGTCTGGTTTCTTTTCAGGGCCTCAGAATTACAAAGTTCTATCTTCTCAATACCTAGTTTTGAGAAATTTGACCCCCAAAAATTTGAGTTTCACAACATTTCAATTTTTTTTCGAATGCAGTTCTTTGAATATATTGATATTGACTCCGAATAATTTTATGGTTTTGGTAGAGCAGATAGAACGTTTGGTTTCTGACCTCAAAATGGCCAAAAATGTCAGATAAAACCTTGTAATTCTGAGGTAGTGATTTTGTGCAGGAAGATTTCTTTGCTAGTCACAAGGCTTCCTCAAGTCATGTTGCCAACGTACAAATAAAGTATTTGTTGAATAATATATGCTCAGTAACTGAATGTTTTGTGGATTCAGTTTGAAACCAGTTTTTGCATACAACTGATGTGGCTTCAATTTGCTGTTTATTCATACAGACTTCAATATAAGTTAAGGACCACCTTGACAGACAGCCCTAATTTTTTTTAAATGTCCGAAAAAAAAAAGACAGCAAGGAATGTTTCAAAATATTTTGCTCTGAAAGTGTTACTGGGTTAACAATGCGTACTGCAAAGTTTCCTGAAGGGGCAAACCACCACATGCAGCACGGAAATCCCCGGGGAATTGTAGCCAAATTTACTTTTTTTTATTGACTTGTGTGCGACACCACGGACATTCATCAGTTAAAAGTTCTAGTGCCCGTCATAAACGGATGTTTGGTCTCGAACTGTGCTCACTTTGGTGGCAATATAAGCAGCCCTTTGCGTAAAATCCAGTATCGCATCAACATGCCCCCAAGACGAAAGCTGAGAGACTTTGATTGTGCCAGAGCTAAGGCATGATTGCAGGATGGAGTTGGAGCCCGAGAAGTTGCCAGAAGGCTTGCAGTGTCACCCTCTGTCATTGTCCGCCGGAGGCAGCACCATCAAGCCACTGGATCAGTCCAAGAACGCCCACGTGCAGGTCGACCCAAGAAGACCACTCAGAGTGTTTGCAAGTTGTCCTTAGCTTATGTTGAAGTCTGTATGTTACTTGAGATTTTCAGAGGAGAACAAAACTGTTGATATGAACCATTTGCATCTTAATTTTAAGTTTGAATACGTTCATGTGATAAGTGTTTATAAATCACTTTTTAACAATTGGGTGCTGATTGCACAATCAGTCCTGGAAGATTGGAGTTGTGTAATTCATGTTGATTGCTATTAATGCCAAAGGTACAGCAACCAGTTGCCCTTTATCTATTCTGTGTTTTTTAAGTTTTGATTTCCTTACTCTATATTGTACTTCAGAACCTGAGGTGGTCACTGAGGGCCTTCACCTGAGCGGAAAACTCTCATCTTTAGTTCTGGAAGGGAATCCTCTGGTTGATGTCTACTTTAATGAGTACAGGTATTGACTAACTTGCAAAAGACTTCTCTTGGCTTGAGGAATAAAGATAGCAATAACTGTTGGACCTCGTTGTATTGTTTTCTTTTGGGAAGTGCCTCGTACTGACCACTGAGTTTCATAGTAGAGGCAGACATAGTGACTGTGTACTTGGATGGAGCTATTCATACAATGCTTTGTTATACTTTAGTTGTGCATTATAAAAAACAGAGAGCTTTCATTTTGTCATGTGTGATGAACTTGGAGGTAATGATAATGACAAGAACAGACAAACAGTTAGTGGGTGATTGGCAGGTGCTCCGATGTGGTTTGCTTCTGTTTTCATCAAACATCTATCATCCTTATCTCTTCTACTTCTTTGTGTGTGTTTTTTACTCTCTTGTAACAACTTTAATCTTGGTCACTTGTATGACCTAATTGTGTTGTAAATGCCATAAAAAAGCTTACTAAAATTTAAAAAGACAAACAGTTTTGAAGTCAGTAATATTTTTGTTTCGCTTCTCAGCGAACTGACAGCTTGTCAGAAGTGCGAATAAAGTAAGGTCAATGATATTGTTATTAAAATACAAAGATTTTAAAATTATGATGGGAGGTTTTTATGGTCATGCTGGAACTTGTAATGTGAAAAAAATTATTTTCCAGGGACATTCTCTTCAAAGCCTTGCCAATGGTAAGCTGTATTGATGGAGTGCAAAGGCAGGGAGCTGCTGACTTGGGACCTGAAAATACTGATGATGACTTTACACTGATGTGTCTCTCTCAGACAGCTGCACATAAGAAGTTGGCAATGAATTTTGATGCTCAGCTTCAGTAAGTGATGTCTGTTTACAATGACAGTGGTTGTGAGGGAAAGTGGTCATGACCACAGATAGAACTTGTCTTGGGCTTAGTTTTGATGTTTTCTTCTGTCTCTTAATTTAAAGGTGTTAGAGGAGGCTACTTTTCAGCTGCCACTATGTGGTTGGGATATTTGTATGTCGTCGTGGTGAAATCAGGCCGTCGTCTAAATACTGAAATCTAAGAAAAAGACTTTTTTTCTACCTGTTGGGAAATTTTTATCGAAATATCTTTTTGGCTCAACATCTTTTATTTATGTCAATTTAGAAACACATTTCTGTGTGGATTTTACTGAAAAATGCTGATCAAAGGAACAAAAAATGTGAATTTGCAGTTTCCAAGGTCACTCAACCTTTGGATATTTCTGTGAATTTGTCACCCTTCAACTTTGTGTTTTAATCATGTGACCACATCAGATTTGTTGAAGATGTCATAAACTCATTAATCCTGTTTCCTGATATTTCAGGGAGCATGAGGTCAGTGCTCCAGGGGCAAGTGACAACTTGTGCTCGTGTTTCTTCACTTTCTGCGACACATCTTTCAAGATGGCTGCCGAGTATCGCTCCTCCCACGAGTACGGAGATATAAGTGTGACCAGTAGCATCAGTGACTTCACTACAACTGTGTCAACTGACTTGTCCAGCAAAATGTCAAAATTTAATTCAACTGATACTGACAAAGTTACCACTGGTGATGTTACTGACAGAAAGTCAAAATTTGAAGCTGCTGTTGCTGCTCAAGGTCATCTCATGTCTAGTGAGAATTTTCCAGAGTCTGCACGCTCTAGTATAAACGGTAATCACAGTACTGCATCTGTGAGTAACAATAAATCGAAGGGTTCTCAAAGAAACAGTGGCTTGTCAAGCAGTGTGAAATCGGTGACTGAGAAAAGTAAACTTCTGTCAAGTGTTGAAGCAGGCCATACACCAGTGTTAAATACAGGTGCTAACAAAAAGAAAGTTCTGGATGACTCTACAGATTCCTCTGACTCGGACTCTGAGGCAGAAAATGATCCAAGCCTTTATCCAAGTGCTACAGACCACCAGAAGAGATTGCAGGTAATGGCTCCTCAGTCTGCAGCACCGACTGCAGCATCTTACATGAATGAAAAAGACAAATTTGAAATGGCTCTGCAAGGTAAAAGTACTGCAGCATCCCATGACAGAAATATCCAGCATGGTGTCAACGATAGGAGACACTCCAAACCACAGAATGATACCCTCCACAGTTCTAGCTATGGCGTCAGTAGTTCTCAACACCACTCGTCTCAGTATTCCACGAACAATCTCCATTCCATGCCAGACAGTGCTCGCCTTGGTCAAAAAGATTTGTTTGAGCGAGCAGTTCAGCAGCAGCAGCAGACAGCTACAGCAACACCAACAGCTGTCTCCGCTAAAGCCATGTTTGATATGGCTGTGTCCGGTGGAGGCAGCAGTAGCTCAATGGGAATACAGCCGGAGACAATGCGGGCAAGGAGTATCCCATCTGGAGGGACTGACTTTAACCCACAGCATGGGGTCAAGGCTAATGTAGTGGGCAACCAGCTGATGGAAGAACCTGGGGAAGACTTGTGAGTAAACAATATGCCATTGCCTGTGCGATAAGACTGGCATAACCCACAGCAGAGTTATTTTACACGAATGGCAAAAACTTTTTGCTTCATCATCCAGCTGCCTGGTGGCTGGCAGGTTTTTCGACTTTAAAAAATTGATTTAGGAACATTTTTGGTCAAAATTCAGACCTGTCTATAACCTAGCATAAGAAATGGATAATTTGCTATTGATTCACCAAATTTGAAGCATAATTTATATTTTTTGGGTTAGCTGGCCTTATCGCTAAGGTAACAATACCCTTTTTGAGACCATATCAAAGCTGTAAAAAATATTTCCTCACATTCAGTTGTAAAGTCCAGTTAAAGCTTTTTCTGGGTCTAAAGCCCATGGAAGAGTTTGAGCTTGTCCTAGCTCTCTTTAGAAGAAGCAGGACTGATGGTACAAGATCTTTTCAAAGACTAGAAATCGCATTGCTCTCATTTTTGTGCCAAGGCATATGCTGGTATTCAGTGTGGGTATGCATATGGTGAGGTTGATAGTGTAAGATGCTTTTCTCAGAGATCTGTGGTAGTCAAGAACTGAACATAGCTCTTTTGGTCTTGAGTCTCTTTGCTAGATTATTGGACCACCAACCCTTTCTGGTGATATATTTTTCAAAATCGTATTACTTGGAAATCAATTTTTTTTTAAACTGACACTAGAAATATATATAATGATGACTGTCTATAAAGAAGATAAAATCTGTAGAAAGTATGGGCTATTCTTATGATAAAGAAAATCAGCTGTAACTTATTCTTTCACTTATGAGAATGTATAATCATTCTGGGTAAGGAAAGAAGTCCAAACTCTGAGAGACTAGTTCCTCTTTGAAATTTGTCAGTTTGTAACTAAATTCAAAGCCTTTAGATGTAAATCATAAATGTGTTTTGAAGGCCTTTATTCTACCTGATTTTCTATTTAATGTGTGTGGTAAGGGACATTTTAGATGTTCATTGATGGTGACATAAATGGGAAAGCCCGCAACCAGAATTATGTGTTGATTTGCAGCAACTTTAGCTGTAGTCCCAAAGCGATTGATCTAATGAATATCTTTCTCTTTAGATTGAATGACCTTGACCTAGCAGCCCTAGGTATGGATGGAGACTTTTCCTTCGATGGCCTTGACTTTGATATAGACAAGTACTTGGATATGAATGATTTGGATGAGGTGAGTTTCTTGTCTCTATTTGAAAAATTGAGTACCTTGGCTTTTCTTTTGTTCTTGGTACAAATGTACAAAGAATGGAAGGCAGATTATGAGCAGTCAGCATTGAAAACATGTGTGCATACGATTATGAGGAGTCTATACATAGAAAAACACCTCTGTGCAGAAAATATATCTTTCTTCAGATAATTTCCCTGGGATCCTGAAAGAAAGAATTTCATTGGCCCTGAGCAGAAGAACTTGAGTTTTTGGCTGTTCCTTTGATAAAAGTTCTTTAAAAGTCTCAAGACGCATTTGTTCAACGCTATCCTTTGCTAGTAATTTTGTATGTAAAAATGTGTATGGGTTTGGGAGTTTGTGAGTGTGTGCGTATGTGTGTGCATGTGTGTGTGTGCATGCGTGCGTGTGAGTGTCTGTGTGTGTGTGTGTGCACATGTGTGTGTGTGTGTGTGTGTGTGTGTGTGTGTGTACGCACGTGTGTGTGTGTGTGCACGTGTGTGGGTGTGCCTGTGCATGTTCATGTGCGTGTGCCTGTGTGTTGTTAAATAGTCTCCCAATGTGCAGTTTCTGTCTTTTGATTTGTCTGCTGAGTAATAATTCTGCATTGTACATCACTTAGAACCTTGTAGGGACCAGGTGCCGCATAAATTCCAATTATTTTTTATTATTGTTAGTGTGTTTGTTGTCTAACATGTTCGTATGGGATGCTTTGTATCTATATCTGTATTTATCTATGAATTATACACATACTTATATGATTGTTTTTACTTTTATGGTGTTTAACATTTAAGTGTAAGGCTCTTTACAGAACACAGAGCTCTAATGTTGGCATTTTCGTTTAAAAATTTGTAAGATCAGTTTGACTTGGGGTTTTTTCTTCTTTATTGTCGAAGCAGAGTTTGTTCTCGGAGAAATCTTGATTCATTGTGGCAAAAAGAAAAAAGTTTCAGAATTGGTTCATGTTTTTTTTCTTTTATTTCGTACAGTTTTTGGAAAAAGGATGGAGGCCAGCCGAGTCACCCCAAATTCCTCAAAGGTAAACTTTTGTGAATTGAATTATATTTTACTTTTGAACAAACTTTAAAACCTGATTTTTTAAAACATGGTTTCACAATTGTCGTTTATTTTGTTTGTTCACTAAGAGAACACAATTGGTCTATTCTCAAAATAACAGATATTTTGTTTGTACCTTTATAAAAGCATAAAGAAAAATATAATGAATGTTTCTGAATCTATTATTTTCTGTTGGAACTATATAACAAAAATTGTTCGTTTATTTCCATTAGCTCATATCCAGTCCTTGGAAAAATAGGCTCAGCTGAGTCTAACTTCAATAACAACCACAACGGCATGAGGAAACCCATCCAAGACTCGAGTCTGCACCGCACAGGCCTGGGGATGACTGCTCCCCCACCCCCCATGCAGCCATCACACGCCTGGAAAGATGCACCAGTTCCGGAGCTGATGGGGAAGCCGCCTCGCCCCTCCCCGCTTCCCGCCCCATCTCCGAGCCCATCCTCAGTAGCTAGTGCCGCAGAGACTCTCGGTGGTGGGAGCATCCGCTCCAAGAAGGATGAGCTGTCAGATGAGTGGTATGCACACATATATTGAAATTGTAACATTTTTCCCATACCTAGCATTTTCTGCATCTTTACCTTTGCTCCTCTGTATATTATTTCTTGTCTTAAGAGAACAAAAGTATTAATAATATGCTTTCAATTTGTTATGTTTTCTCAGACGAGCGGTATGCTCATGTAGAGATTGTTCACGTTTCTTCTGTGCTTAGCGTCTTTATCATTTATATCTGAATCCGCTGTATTTTTTTTTTTTTGCCTAAAAAGAACAATGATAATATTTTAATTTTTGTGCTGGATGTCTTCTCGGATGAACGATATTCACTTGTAGAGATTGGTAACACTTACCGCGGGCTTAACATCGGAACCTTTGTAAGCTACCCACTGTGCTTTATTTCTTTTCTCAAAACAATGAAAATAAACTTTAAATTTGTAATGTAGTCTTTGGTTTTTGGAATTATCAGTGGCCCCCCCAAGGCCGGGAGACACCTTGTCGTGGTTTGGGGGCCCAGATACCTTTTGTGCTTATTTTAAAAGATATCTGCGAAGATCTCCCTTAGAGTTAAACGACTTACGGGATGGCTGTTGCTTATGTGGCAGAAATCAAAGTGATTCGATGAATTTCACTATTGAGTTTTGTCATCCTAATACAGGAGTCTTTGTTTCTTGAGTTACTGTTTATCTCCTAGTATAGTTTCTGGAATTCTAATTGCGACACTTTTCTTGTTGGTTTATTTTACATGTTTTTTAAGATAGTTTTGTTTGCAACTACAAGTCATAGACAGTCAACAGCCATTTCTTAACCTGTTGTTTTTTAGTGGTCACTGGCACCAGCCGCTGGTCTGGTCCTATTATACCTAGTGGCTTGTATCATCAGCTGATGAGTATGTGATAGTTTCCTTCCAAAAACCAAAAACAGCATTTAGAGATAAGTTAGAATTCTATAAATAGATGTTCAATTTTCCCTGAGAGGGGGGGTCCTCAATTGTTTATTGATAGTTTGAATGAGAAGAGCAGTGTTTTCAATTGTGCATTGTTCCAGTTCATGGCTGTGTGTTATGATTTTGAAGCTCAGCTGATTTCACAAAAATGGCTGTAACGTTGTGAATAATTATTTTCTTACAATGAAAAGTGACATGCACATTTAGAATGGAATGTAGATTTAATTAATCATTCTTAAAAAACCCAGTTCCATCGTAATTATTTTTTTTGTGCTATATATGGGTGATTCTCAAATAGGACCGTAATTTTTTTGGGGGGTCGGGGGTGTTCGGTATGTATTATTTTTAATGCTAAAATTACAATTTGACAGACAGTTTGGCCCAGCAGTTTATATAATCCGATTTTTCATTCATTTTCTCAACACTAGCCCTGGGCATAGGGGTTTGTACCCTTTGGTGTCCCATGAATGGCACCACATTCCTTTCATTGGTTTTGCCGTTGGTGCACTTTGCATTGTGAAGATCAGCTGATCTGGTTAGAGGAAAATGAGACTTATAGCTTCGCCGAAAACCCATTTGTTTACCACCACCAGAATTACTTTGAATTGAATGTCAACATATAATTATGATGCCTGCTGCTCAGGTTTTTATTTTTTCCCCCTAAACAGTGTCAGATGTTCGTAATATTTTCTTCTCCTTAAGGATCTTCAAAGAATAATGACAATCTCTTTGGCTGGAACTGTAGATCTGGATATTCTGGTCTACTGTTCCTGTGTTATGTTATTTTCCCATGCAAGCACTGCCTTACATTTCCTATATATAGGCTGCAAACACAGTGGAATGCTTCATGCTGTGTTGTCGTTTGACAAAACAGTTTATTGGAACATCATAAGAAATATAATGGAATGGCACAAAATTTATTTAAACAATCACAAAATGATTTATTGCAAATTACCAGTCCTCTGTTAGATTTCAGTGTTGAGCAATGGTGCAGCTCTCAAGTACTGTTTGTTTACTATATATAAAATTGTGTTGCCTGCCCATGCGATAAAAAGACAGTAGTAAGTCACAGCACTCAGCTTTTCACTGGAATAAAGATTGATTGTGTTTACTGGTAGGGAGCTCATTTTGTCTCGAAACACAGTTCTTCTTGCCTCTCATGTTAAGTACCTGGTTCAGTTTCTTATTTCTAAATAATTTGTTTGAGGCTTCAAAACCGTCAGTCAGTTATCTGAGGGGGAACAAAAAGATGAAGAACAAGGAAAATGGGAGGGGGAGGGGGGGAGAAGACGATGAAGAACAAGGGAAGAAGAAGAACAGCAACAACACAGAGAAAGGGGGGGGGGGGGGAGCAGAAGATGAAGAAGAAGAAGAAGAAGAAGAAGAAGAAGAAGAAGAAGAAGAAGAAGAAGAAGAAGAAGAAGAAGAAGAAGAAGAAGAAGAAGAAGAAGAAGAAGAAGAAGAAGAAAAAGAAGAAGAAGAAGAACATGGAGTGTTGTGTGGTGTTGTTTCTCATATCATATTATATGACAATTAGTTGAGATTATATAAAGAAATATTAGGTTTGATGAATATCACTTAAACCTCAATTTCATTTTTGTTTGTTTTAAATTTAAGTCTTCAAAGTTATTGCACTGTTGAAGTCATGTTCTCTCTTTTTAACTCCCTGACCCCCCTTTGTTGAATTTTGTCCCCATTTTGTATACATTTTTGCGGTTTTTCTTTCCACTTTAGGGGTTTTAAGGACAGTCGAACAGCAGAACTTATGATGGCAAGAGCCAAGAAAATGAAATACAATGCAGAGAGAAAGCGGAAGCTGAGTAAATTGGGTAAGAAAAAAAAAATATATAGCCAGTGTAGACCATTGTAAAAACAGTGAAACCTGCTCTAATGGCATCTGGTATAAGTTGATCATCGGTACGAATGGCCTCTTCCCATTTCCTCCCATGCATATGTTTTACAATATAAATTGTAATGACACTGTGTAAAATGGTCACCTTTCTAAGATGACCATTTCTCTCTTGACAATGGGTGACTATCTTAGAGTTTTGACTGTACAGCATATTGCTGTCTGAAAGGCCAGGGATTCTAGGCTATAAAATTGAAAACAGGCCCTATATGATAATATTGCTGGAGGTTGAAAACCTGTAGTAGATGACCCATGTGGTCTGGATGGAAATTAGAAATGGAAGCTAAAAGTAGATAGGAATATCTTAGAGATAGGGCAGCTTTATAACTTATAGCAAAAGATTGACTTTTGTTTCAGGGATGTCCACCAAATTAACTCTCCATTATAATCCACAATACCATGTTTGATATCTGATTCCATGCCTGTACCTGTCCAAGATCTAGCATTAATATTGTATTATCTTCCCTGTAAAACACACCCTCTTTTCAATATATATAGACTGATTCTGATACAGTGTTACCTTTTTATTTTGTCTTCATTTTGACATACAGCATTTTTACTATATTTTGATAAAATAAGGCTGATTATAACTGTTCATGTGGGTGTTTGGCAGGTGCTCTGGGATGGGTTGCTCCTTCTTTCCTATAAAAAATCTATTGTCTCTATCTCCCCTCCTTCTTTTTTGTGTTTGTTACTCTTTTGTAAAACACCTCTAATCTTTGGCACTTATATGACCTTATTGTGTTGCAAGTGCTGTAAAACTCTTACTAAAAAAATAGCTGTTCATGTGTGGTATCTAATTCAATGTACTTTAATGGATTGTACTTTGCCTTTTTGTATTTTATTTTCTGAAAGAATGTTGCTGTCAAAATGTGCGCACATGATGAATTGGTATGGTGTTAGTATGAATGCGTTTTTAATCTCCTATGTACGCCTTGGGCCCATGCTGTGGGGAAAAGAGGGTACAAATGCTCTTATTATTATTATTATTGTTTCCACTTACTTCCCTATTTTGGTCTCTTGTTTACCTTACGGATGGATGAAGTGCTCTGCTATTTTGACTGACCTGTTTGTGGGCTCAGTTAGGTCACTTGACTTGTACAAAAGCATTTAGGATCTATGATAACCTATGTTACCTTCTGATATTTCAACTGGGGAAATATGGACTACAGAATGGCGATGTTTCATTATTTTTATGTGTACTCTCCACCAGATCCCAAACAAAGACTTCAGCTATTTAGGAGATTGGAAGAGTCTGGAAAAATCCACCCTGTCAGACCACCACCTGCCAAAGTCTTGCCAAGGAAGGAATATTTTCAAGGTAAAAATATTATATATATATATCCTTTTTTTTCGGCACAATATAAGTGCCGAAGGTTAGAAGTGTCACAGGAGAGCAACCCTAAAAATAAGGAAGAGATAAGGACAATAGATCATGTTTAATAGGACGGAATGGGCGAACCACACCAGAGCACCCACCGAACACCCACTAAAATATTTCCTTGCTTTGTAATAAAAATTGTATTCTTAAATGATCTGTGTTGTCAAAAATTTAGAGAGAATGCAGTCACAATCATTCAGCTACTTTAGACATTAGTAGTTCTTCAAGGAGTGTCCTTGATTAGGAAGATTCAATTTTATGTTTGAGGAGAGCTTGGGCTGAAATACATAGTGGTATGCTACGACTGACATCCAGAATTAATTTTTCACAGCACAACTGGTCAACTCCTTTTCAGAGGTACATAATATCAGAAAGCTCTCCTTTCATAATATGACTACTGGACCAAGCCCACCACAATACTTCACATCTCTATAATCTGATGTCTGTTCACTGGTTAGTATTTCCATTATGCAGTCAAGCTCTGTTATTATTTTTGTTGCCTTAGATCTTGTTGCCCAGGTTTGTTTGTTCTAACCTGGTTACCGATCTCATAGTAAGACAGAGCTGGCAGAACTGATGGGCCAAATTCCAAGGCATGACAGTAATATGCTGTAGAATATTCTCCTGCAGTGCAATCCACTTTAGGACACTTTTATACAGGATTTAAGGCAACTCCACTGAGTTTGAATTAAAATTTTGTCACCTATTTCTCCGTTACAGCGAGGGAGGAAGAAGTTCAGCGACAAGAGCTCGAAAGAAGAGTGGAAGAACACGCACGTGTCAATCGCACATTTGAGTGGCTGCACACACAAGTAGGGGACCACCCAGTGTCCAGCTCTAGGATCAACCCTGGGTTTGTATTCCGTCCTTTGTTTCTATTATGGTCTTTTAATAAAGTGGTGTTTAATTATATGTTGAATGATTTATGATCAAAATCTCCATTGACTCTGCAACATAATAATATCTTTGGATGGTCTATTCCATGCAATATTTTTGCCTCCCTAACGTAAAGATAGGCAGCATGGCAGCTGCTTAAACGTTTAAATCCTACAATTTCCATGAAAGTGTCTCCCTGTTCTCCTTTTAAAGTATTTTTCTCAAGCTGTTTTGGTTTGCTATTTTGCAATGAAGAGGATCGCCATGATCATTTTTTTACCCCCCCCGGAAAATGTACTCCAATTTTGTAGAGAGCAAATGAAACTGAGAGTTCGAACCTTCATGTAATACTTCTAATATAATAAGCATGTCCCTTCTGCTGTTCAACATAGAAGGCATGATTTGGCCTAAATTATTTTATATGTGCTGTATGTTTTGTATTTCTCAGACCTGGTGCAATGCACACTCACAGTGACAGCAACATGAGCAAAAACCCTCACAACTTCGACTATGGTCCAAGAAAGGTAGGTCATCTTTACACACAGTTATCTGTTAGGTCTTTGTGAGAGCCTCTTTTTAGTCTTTTCTTTCGTGTGCTTCTGTGCACATGCTTTAATGTAGTCTGCTGCTCCTCTCTTTCTTGTCCATGTTAGTGTCTTTTTATGGATTACCTGCTTAATTGTTTTAGTATTTAAGGTTCAACAGCGCTCACAACTGCTTAAGGTCATATGAGCGCCAAGGGGTGGATGTCGACAGAGAAGTCCTTAAAAAGGAATCAGGCTTACTCTTCTCACCTTTCTAGCTTCAACAGCACAAAGTTTGCTTCGACTGTCAGGGCACCTCGGAAATAGCGGGTCACAAGAGTGTAACAAACATTCAAAAGAAGAAGAGGAAAAATGACGATTGTAAGGATTAGGAAAGAAAAAGCAGCTGTTCCCTGTTGCAGTTCAAGCACAGTTATGAGCATGACATTGATGAATCAGCCCATTTACAATTCCACTGTTCATAAGAACATGTTAATGTCCTCCCCCCCTTGGGAATGGCCTAAGGACACTTCAGTCTGTAGCTCCGCCCCACTCCTAAATGATTTAACTTGTGTCGCAGGGGACGTAAAACACTGACATTAAAACCATTTTAAAAAAAATATTATGTTTGCTTTGCTGGGACATTGTCCTCCCTCAGCTGGAGTTGACCCTGACAGGCATTGCTGAAGAAGCTCATGTCCTGAATGATCTAAATTGTGTCGATGGGGACATAAAACATCTACAAGTTAACAAAAATCTTGCTGCTCTCCCAGTCTGTTTCTCCTGAAATATGTTACTTCTTGTGTAGACTCACTGTGAAGTGTATCTCAACAGGAAACAGTAGCTGCACTGTTATCTCAGTTGATATCATGCTGATAACTCTCTTGTTGTAGATAAAGCAGTACTGGCGTTAAGATGTTTGTCACTCTGAAAACTTTACTCAAACCTTAAAGAAACCTTTCTGCCTCTGTTGTGGATGGTTGGTGGATGGTCTGATGTAGTCTTTTTCTGGTATAGCAAGTTTTATAATCTTCCATACACCGAAATATTGCCATTATCAAGCCGTCTTTCTGAAATTTGTAATGACAAAATCACACCCTATATATAGTCTAACACATAACTTCAAGCATTACACAATCCTGATCCTTGTTCTCACACAGACCAGCCCTGGTTCTGACTACATGGATTCAGTGAGTGCACATGGAGGTCATGGGGGTCACAGATTAGGCCGCAGGTTCTCCACTGAAGAGGCTCATGGTGAGTAGTTTTTAATTTTGCCTCTGACCAGGTAAAAAACCATTTTATTCTGCTAACAATAATGTACCTTAATTATGTATTTTTTCTTGCCTTTTTCAACTTTTAAAATTTGAATTTTGCTGAAACATTTTTTGCTCTGAAGCAACCATTACCACAGATTAAGAAACTGCAATAAAAAATATTTTAAAATTTTGGGCCAGATACATTCTAACAGCTGGCGAACTCTCATCCATATAGTGCTTTTTCACTCTTTATTTTCTGCCTCCATTAAATACTATGAGTTCTTCTGTAACATAGGAGAACGGTACTAAAGAATAAAACACTACAAAGAGCTAATGGGTTTTGCTGTAGATTTTTATACACATTTGCCCTTGGCATATGTTATATATTCACTTTAGGTAGTGAAAAGTTTTGTACTGAAGATTCATTCCCTTGCAAGGAAAATATCTTCAATAGTGTGTGACCACCAAAGTTTGAAGGTTTGCAGAAGGCTGACAGGAAATGGTCGCTAGATTGTTACCATCCATCACGTACAAAAACATGCCCTTATAGCGCTTGTAACTGTTCTCCAGATTTGCTAGATTGGCCCGAGTCCACCAAAAATTAACTTCACAAGCACAGTTTTACCCAAGTGTTCCAACATGTGAGCGATATTGATGAATAGTTGTCATTACCACCATAGGGTTTCTTCTGCAGAGAATCAATTTATTCATGTTTAGTGAATATTTTTATTTTGTTTAAAGAGTTGAAAGAATGTGTGTTTTCCAAATATTGAATACGATTGAACCTGTTATATAAGCTAAATAAGTAGAAACATACGACCAAGATGTTACCGATTGCTAAAGGCTGTAAAGTAAGAAAAATTATCTTAAATCACGCGTTATGGTTTTGATATTTAAAAAACTGCTTTCTACTGGGCTTTACATTTGTTATGTCTTCATGCAGGGACACTATGGCTTTATCTCTGTATTTTTCAGCTGGAAACTCACCGATGCTGCCACCGATACAGATCGGTGCTGTGCCATCTACACACAAAGATGAGAGGATGTCATGGAGGAATGAACAAGTGGACAAAAGTCTGGGATGGGGAGGAGGGAAGAAAAGAGGAAAGAATTGATGTGATCGAGCTGCTGTGATAGTGTGTGCGTCTGAGGAATACCTGAACTCTTTGTATTTTCTTTGAGTGATGAGATTGGGATTTAACCTGTATTCTTTTTATGATGTTCATTTGTTTCTTTTTAAATGATACTCAGAACCTATCTGTGCTTTTCATGTGTGTATGTGTGTCTGCTTTCATGATAGTGCTGAGCAAAGGACTGTTCTTTAAGGCAGATGTTCTTGCCTTGTATTTCTTTCTATTTAATTCCCTAGTCATTTTCTTTCAAAGCATTCTTGTATTTGATGACATTTCTTAACCCTTACAGCCCCAGTTGTGTGTATTTTCTTCACAGGGTGCTGCCCATCTCAAACCTAGGAGTGCATATTTCCCTCACATGGTGCCAACCACCTCAAACCTCATTGTGTGTTGTTTTGCCATAATCCATCCAATGATCTCGTAAAAAATATTCCACACATTATCTTCCCAAAATTCAAACAAAGCAGTATAGTAATTTTTTTTAATGTCTGCCAAAAATTACAGACGCAATCAGTATTGGATGGGCCTGAGGAGTTGAGGACTCCAGTATTACTTGGGCCAGAGAGAAGTAAGAGCTAAAAATAGCCCGGTGCTGTAAGGGTTAAATTTTCTTTTGCCCATCTTACTGAAGTCCATGAGTTTGAAAGCTTAGAATATTGTTTTCGAAGAGAAGGAAAAAAAAGTATGAAAAAGTATGGGCAGAGACTCATCTTTGGTAGCAGATGTCAGTCTGTCTCACTTCATTACTTTGAGAATGTAGCTGGTGACCGCGTGCTTGAAACAGAATCATATTATATATATATATATATGACAAATGATTTGTGAATTCTGACCTGAAATGCTTCCTTGACTGGAAACTGGGACTCTTGATAACAGCACCATTTTTTTTACTCATTCTGCAAACCGTACCATTAATTTGTATGTTAGTGTATGAAGTGTTTTTATGTTTATAGTATTTTTCAAGATCTTTTTTTTTCCTTATGTCATACATGAGTTCCTGTTGGTTACAAAGTGTCTGTGATAGGCCCCACCTTGTATTTTCTACTTTGTTATTTCCCTCTGTCATCTTCTTTGATAAACATAATATCTGATTACTTTCTTGGTGCTGACATATTTTGATACTTATCCTGAACTGAGCTTTGGTGCCTTTCACCATCTAAAAGAAAAGATGAGGCTGAAGACGATATTTCTTCCTCTGACTTACTTTTAAATCAAGTTTGTGTGTGAACATCTAGGAAGAGAAAGATAAGGCTTACAGGTTCACTTGTGGGTGGAAAGTGGGTATAATTTTCAAAAGCAGGATTACCTCAAAGAATTAAGGTAAAGAGATTTGAGAAGAGATGTTGAAACTTAGAGCAAACACACTTGTACAAGTGTAGTTTGAGTTGTCTTTTTGAAGAAAAGAAAAAAAAGACTTGAATTTTTGTCCGAAAATTTCGTTTACAACACTTCAAACTTGTTTTCATTATAAAATCTCTTATGATTTTAATACCTTTGAATACATGGTAAGGGTCAAGTGAAATACAGTTTATCTGAGGTTTCCTCCTATAATGCTTAAGTGGGGTAAGGTTCTAATTATAAGTCTGTCTTATTCTGGCGTGACAAAACCGCAGACTGGGTGGTTGGGGGATGCCATGGCAGGTGCTACCTGTTTACTCTCCCTCTGTTGTTTCTGTTCACCTGTTTTGTTTTCCCCAGTACTAGATATAATTTGTGTCGATGCTTTTTCTTTATATTAAAAATAGCCATGCCATCACTGCTGCAGTTCACCTTTAGAGGTTAATTTTAATTGACTGTTCAGGAATTGAAATGATGCATCATCTGTAAGGATTTTTAATAGTTCTCTAATAGTTCAACTAATTTCAGAATTATGGAATAAGAGGTGCGATTTCAACACCTGTCTTTCCTTTACACCATCTACTAAATAAAGCATTGGAAGACTGCTTTCCCTTCACTCAGTAGCTGCTGACATACTTGATGTAAAGGTTTGATTCTTTGGCTAGGGGGCTGGACAGACTAGGAGAGTTGATGCTGTTAGCAGTGTCGGGCTCAGATGCGCCGTCTCAAAGGAAGCCTGTTTTACAGGAGAGGCCAGCTACTTTATATCATTGAAAGACCACTTCAACTCAGATTCAATTTTGAGGTTTCATGCTTCTCTGTTTTTTTAATTTTTCCCACTGGGATGAATTTGACCTATTGTTTTACAATATAATTTACAGAAAAGTCAGGTTGTAGAAAATGTTGGAGTTGGCCTGTTTGTATTACTTGAGCCAAACATTATGATAGGCCCAACTCGCAGGACTGTATCAAACAAAAACTAACATGTATGCTCGACATACTTGAAAGAGCGGTTTAGATCAAAATTTTATGTTTCTAGACTGTTGTCAGTACCGACCTTTTCTGTTTTCTGAGACTTGTTGTAGTGCACAAGACTAAATATTATTTCTATGCTCAAAATTTTCGTCATGGCCACAGTGTCATGAAGTCTAGCTGTGCTTTTTATTTATTCATTCCGTCATTCTTTTATCATGCTTTAAAAAAAAAATGAAACGTCGCTTTTGAAAAATTTGTCATAATTGTGTTCATGGAAAAAGAAATTTAATAAACGTTGTGCTCTTAGAAGATGATGGTTTTGCTTTCTTTCAGTGGGATATAGGGCCTAGTGTTTTTGCTGATACAACTAGAAAACTCAAATGGATTGAGTGTTAGTGTATTGTTTGCACACCATGAGAAAGGGCCAGAAACTGTGATAATGAAATGTACAGAGGAATTATGATGTGGGAGATATAAAGAAAGCTGGATTTTTTGTGTTTGTGTCATCAAGTCATGTCCATACTGCTTGTTCCACAACACCCAATGACACAGTCTCTATTGTCTTTGTTCCGCAAAGTGGAGATAGAGTTATCAAATTGTTCTTTTTGAGACTTGTGGCTTGAGACATAGGTTCATGTCTTCATGGAGTTGGGTGGTTGGAGGGCGTCACCGAGTAGGTACTACTCCTCCTTCCGTCTGTTGTTTCTGTTTGTGTTTCTGTTTGCCTTGCTTTTTCCTTGCACTGTTATGACTGCTTTTATGTGGAAGTCTTTCTCTTTCACTCAAACTTTAACAACTTTTGGGGAGAAGGGGAAAAAATGGATGGTCCTCAGATGCTCTGGTGTTGTGCTTCTTTCTTATCAACCATCTATCATCCTTATCTCTTCTCCTTTTTTTGGTGTGTTTTTCTCTTGTGATACCTCTAATCTTCGGCCCTTATATGACCTAATTGAGTTGCAAGTGCCGTAAAAAGCGAAGAGAAGACAGTAAGTTTAAGCATTCTTTTTCTTGTCAGAAATACAAGATTGCATAACTCTTCCCTGAATATAGCCTTCCATCGTAAAACGCCAGTGACTTCCCTTTGTCACTATTCCCAAGTTGTCCAAAACGTGGCGCTGCGCATGCAGACGAAAGGCGGAAACAGCCGAAGCAGCGCGTGGGTGCGTCAGTCGCTCCCGCCCTGCTCATGATTTTCCCAAATACAGAAGTTTTCGTGAAAAGGGGATAATCCGAGTCTAAAAATAGCCGAACCGCGTGAGCACTGGTGGTGCATGGCATGGCGCGGTGCGCGCACAGCTCGAAACTCCCCTCCGTAGTAATTCATGAAGTCGGCGAACTTCCTCTGACCGCTGTGACCTCCTTACTGTAACGTTGATTCTGTCCTTCTCATTGTGCGATATTGGAGGCGTAGCGTAGAGGTGGTTAGTAGGCCTAGACATTTGTGAACAGCAGTAATCTATAGGCCTTCATTTCTACACTCGCTGTCCTGTTGGACTGTTGCACACTCATCGTGTCTTAATAATATATATAATGTGATTTTTTTTCACGTTGTCGGGGTTCAAACGGTGAAAAATGACTGGTTCTGTATATATCTCGTGAAGAAATCCTTTTTTCCACCAGAATCAAAAGAAACGGATTAAAACAAATTATGGCAAAAAACGCCCCCCTCTTCTACTATCTAAATTACACAACAGGAGAGGAAAGAAATGGGACGGTTCCTTTTTTAAGGGGGGGGGGGGTGTTTTTGTATTTTTTAGTCTCCTGTAAAATAAACTTTTCCGAATTAGCCATTTCGCGATGATGAATATCGGCAGAAAATCATCGACAATTTTCTGAATTTGCAATTGAGAGAAGGGAAGTTCTTTTATTGAGAATCTTCATTTGTCAACTTTGATGGTGCTACCCTCTTAGCTGAGGTTGACCCTGTCGGGCATGTTCGAAGAAGCCCTCCTCTAGAAAGAAAAATTAAAAAATTAACACAATTTAAATTGTGGCGACGGGAGCTCTGAGTCCATCGAATCTATCCTTGTGCGCCGTTGACCCATTCTTTCCCCACCTCTTTCTCTCTTTAGATTTTTGTTGGTTTTATTTGTTTGTTTGTTCTGTTTTTAAAATTACTTCTTTTTTTAACCAAATCGGAATAATTCATAACAATTCACGGAAAGGGGAAAAAGGCGAAAACCGCACCCAGACGTTGATGGCTGGTGCCTCAATAAATAAATTATTGCTGGTCAGGTCAGGTTGGGGATTTTTGTGTGTGTTAGGATGGGGGTAAAAAGGAGTAGGGGAGGGGTGCAGTGGGTTACAGACACCCCGATGTGCCCTCTTTCTGTTCAATTAGAGATGTATAGAGTGTCACCGGAAGGGGGTCATTTTCACGGAGTGACATTGTAATAGTCAGGGGTCATTGTCAAGGCCTTAAGTACGGACGTGTCTGTGCGATCGGATGGGAAATTGTTGTTTGATGGTCGTGGAACCAGCAGAGGAAAGTGTGGCTGGATAGTATTATCATTATGGTGTTTTGTTGAGTACATCATGTGTGAGTGTGTGTTCGTGAGAGGCAGCGCGTTTTCGGGCACACACGTTCATATAGTATGTGCGCGCGCGCCCTGAGTTTGTGTATGTATGGAATTCCCTCGAGTTTATGTGGGTGCACGCACATTTACCCACAGTGTGTGTGTGTGTGTGTGTGAGAGAGAGAG